TTTAATAGGTTAATCGCAATTTCCACCTGCAGCACAATGGAATGAAATAATGGACATTTTCTGCTTCTATGTGGCCTGACTCGGTGCTCGGCCATGCTTGGCCATTGCTTTTGGCTCTGTGGTAGCACGCAAAGAGGGCCGCTCACACGCCCACTTCAAAGAAAACACTTGAAATGTCATTGGCTGAACAAAAAAAAAAAAAAAAAAAACCCAGAAAAATGCAAAAGCAACAAAATGGAAAACAAAAACACAAAACTAGTAAAAGTTTTTCATTTACCACACGCTCGCTGCATTTCGTTATTGCTTTCGAGCTTCTGTGGTGTAAGAACAACTTGCTCAACCCGTGCCACATGGCGTATGCGTAATATTTGCCTGAGCTCTCAATGGGCGCGACCATTGTGTACGTGTGTGTGTGTGTGTGTATGTGTGTTTACTGCCCGAAATGAGGTCATATTTTGGCGTCATCTTTTGGCTCAGTCTGCGAGCAAGATAAACAGACGCCAGCGAACGAACGACAATAAAACAGCAGCCAAATTGCGGGCAATCTTTGAAGCAATTTCAGGGGTCCTTTGCTCAGTGTTTAGTGTTGGGGGACTCCCCACGACAGCAGTTGAAATGTCAACTGTATATTTGTGTATATGTACACACATACATATACATATACACAGCGCCTTCAAAGGATTTAACGCCTCGTTGATTGCAATTCAGTTAATTCACCATTTTTTGCTGCGCATTTGCTATAATTTTTATTTGGCTTTCGAGTGGGCTACGTTTAAGGCGTACTGGGCGTGGCAGCAGCGACAGTCAAGCCTTTGGTTGAAAGCGGTTAAAGTAATGCGAATACCCTGTAATATATATTCCTGAAACGAGACTATACTGATTACAACGATAGTTAATCGATAGTCGAGAAAGTTTCCAGAAAGGATTTATTTTTCAGCATTTTCTATATATTTCGAGGGCATTTAGCAGTACAATCAACTCATGAATGGACGCTTTGTGCTCTATGTATGAACAATATACCTGTAGTTGATCTATGCGAAAGAAAAATATAGACTTTCATGCAAGTTGAGAGTATCTGACAGCCTAACATACCCTAAAAGATTTCTACCATGTATTAAATACCTCAAGATACCTCAGGGTATTTTGTGACTGAGCGACTTTGTTGAAGTTTATATACCCTTAACGTTCTTCCAGGGTACCAAGCAGTCGAGCATACTCTGTTTCAAAATAGACTCTTGCAGAACTTTGCAGAGCAGCTCTACAATTCATTGTTTCCTTTTGTATATTATTAAAGAAAGCTTCAGTTTAGCATATTTGTAAATATTGCTAGGGTATCTTATGGTTAAACGAGTTTTTTTTTTTTTTTCAAAGTAGTCAAAGTACTCTATTGTACTTTAAACTTAATAAGCTTTATATATTTTTGACCTCAACTATCTTGAGTCTGACTGTAAGCTTACAGGATATATGTTAGTCGTGCTTAAAAGTTTTTCTCTTCTATCTCATTTCAGTTTACTTTTAAGTCTGTCCATACTTTGTTGCTTATGTCCCACTGCAGCTGTAAATTAGGGAATTATCGAAGCTTTGTTTAAGCAGCGCACAGGACACTCATAAGCCTTGAGCAACACTGTTTTCATTTACGACAGCCAACACTGTATTTTTTTTCCTACATTTTATGATGATTGAAAAAAATTGATTCAGCACTTGCCCAACGCTGTTTGCTTTTCCAATTCGCCTTTGCTTTTTCCTTTACATACTTTATGGAAAAATGAAATACTGGAAGAATGAGATGAGCGAAAGGTGAGCATTGAATAAACAATGCTGTGGCCCGCTGTGATTAGCGAGTTGAGACCATTTTTAAAATTGCAGAGTGAACGCGTGCCATAATAAATTAAAAATATATATGTATGTATATAAATGGGTAGTAACTGACTGAAGAATACGCCTCGATTTCTAAGAGGAATCAGTTTTGAGTTTTTCCTTTTCAAAAGAGATCACGATTAGGAAATATAATCTCAAAGATTTCTGTAATATAGTTAAAGCTCAAGTCCAGTTTATATACTGCCCCAAAAATATAAATATATTCATACAAAAATATATTCATAATCCAATATACTCTTCTGCACCTCGTAAGTGGAGTATGAATATGATTTGCGGCGGGTGTAAAGGGGAGTTTTTGTTTTTTTGTGCAGTCTGGGAATAGCTGTACAAAAGCAACAGCAGTTGCAACGAATTGTATAGGGGAGCTGAAGTGGGCGTGGCTATATGGTCATGATAAAGCATCCAATGGTCCATGGTTGACTGCCCGAACACAGTGTGTGTGTGTGTGTGTGTGTGTGTTTGTATGTGGCTTGTCCATTTGTTATCGAGTGAAAGCCAGGCACGCTCTCTGAATGTAGCTACAAATACAAGCATATATGTATATTCTCTTTAGATATATATTTGATATTGATTTTCGTCTTAATTAGTGCGGAAATTATTAATTATCTCGATGCTGCTGTCTGCTCTCGATTTGAGTTTTCATGTTTGAGGCGTCGGAAATCGAAAGGAATCGACTTAAAAAACTTTGACTATAATAAATAAACTTGGCTCTTCGCTGGCTTCATCTGCGGTCTTCTAATTACTCAAGTAAAGTGCATTACGGGTTTTTGTTTTGGTTACTTTTTGCGGTTAAATTGCAATTACATTGCTGCAGATACTCTATATAGGAGTGAGGTTATGTTGTGCTTCAAGAGTTCTTTGTGAGAAGTTGAGAAGAGAGGTTAAGAAGAGTTGAAACAAAGGTAAAACAAATCTACAAAATAAACTAAATGTTTTCCCTTCTAGACTATGGAAAATTGTGGTTAGGTGTTTTACTTTAGTTTAAAATAATATATGAAATTTTGATTTCTTTTTTTACATTTTAAATTTAAAGCTATAAGGCCTCTCTTCTTGCCTCTCTTCTCTATACTTTTTAGATTTCAACTTTTATACATTACATTTTTATATTGATTATATTCATATAGTCTCCTTTTTCAAGCCAGCGAGAGAGCATTCATGAAAAAGTTTTGAATCATTTCAGCCTACGATTGCTCCTTTGAAAACAATGTTTTACAAGTTTCCTCTTGTTGCAGTTGTACTCCCTCTCTCCCTCTCTCTCTCCATCCATATTTCCCTCTGTAGCGTCTGGCTTTTTGGAAAAGTTTTTAATTGCGAAATGCCCATTTGTGCAGCACAGACAGACAACAATGCCGCCGCCCCCTTAGGCTAAATGTTGTCGTTGCCTCTGGGCAAGTTTCTCGTAATTTTGGCATAATTATGACACAGCCAACATCTGTCATGGCTACCACGGCACGCCCAGCGCCGCCTTTTCGCCATACTTATGCAATTTACATTTCCGGCCGAAAGCGAAAACTTTTTGCTACATTTAAGAACTTTAATTACACGCAAATGCCTTGCATTGTCAGCGAAAAATAAATAAAAGTAGAAAAAAGCAAAAACTTTTCAACTTGCGAAAATTTCTAGAAGTTGCAAAAGACGAACAAGCTTTGACACGCATTAGAGTTGAGTCGCTGTGTTCACAACAGGTTCGTTACAATTTGAACAAAGCATATTAGTAGTTGTTCAGGAACTAAAGGTTCTGTTCATTTGTTTGCTCGCTTGCTTCGCTGCTCACCACACGTTCCATTTGTGCTTATTGAACGAAAAGTCTCCGCTCTAACGCGCAGAGTTGCGGCAGAGGATGAGCAGAACTTGCTGCTGTCATTGATAAAATTGCAATGCCAATTCCGGTCAGTAAACTTTCAATATAAAAAGTTTTTGTTGTTGTGTGTGCATGTAGCGCGGCGAAACAGATTTACAGTTATGCAAGTTCTCTGTACGCTGTGATAAATTGCGATTTAGTTTAAATAACAAATATATACATATATAACATAATGTACAGACTTACAAACTTTTGAAAAAACCTAGATTTTTTATAATGTAAAACTTGTATATTTCATGTTTATTTACTATAAAAAAATTAATTACCCTTAAATTTGCTACAGTGCATTTTTGTGTAACTGCTTTAAGCGGCTTAAACGAACTTTGCCGCGGTGTCTGCTGATGGGTATCGATGGCTGAATTGAAAATTTCGTTAAGCTGCGTAGCGCGTTGCAACTTGCAAGTGCATGCAACTCGTAGCATAACTCAATTAGTGCTTCATTGTTAGTTATTGTTGCATTTGCCTCGTAACTGAATTTAAGCGCATTTTGTTAACGCTGCTCTGCACGCGGCTCGCTCGAAAGCGAATTCATCGTGTGGAAAGTGAAAATACAAGCCGGCCTCTGTTCAGGGCACTGTTACACACGCGCACACACAGAGAGACGTACATACATGCATATGTATGTTGGTATGTACATTCTTACACATACATGCACTCGTAATTGGAGCGAACTTAAAGTAATTCGTCAAAACCGCCCACAGTTGGTGGCCCTTGTAAATTTATTTGGCTTGGCGCTTTGTATAACTGCTGCCGCACGGCCGCACCTAGGGTTTTTTTTCTCTTCCATTTTTATATATTTTAGCAAAAAGCTAATGTGCCGCTAATTAGCTTGGGTGTAGCAGTTGGAAAAAAATAACTCCCAGCGGCTTGCTCACAATTGCGCGCAGCAGTGCAAAAGTTTGTCAATTACGTCGCTTCATATGTCAAAGAACAGTAAAAAATGAATTCGCCGCGGGCAATAACAAGTATGTGAGCAACATGTGTGATAATTGCTCAAAGGATCGATATGAAAATTCGCTCCAAATGCGTGTGTAAGAGATGTGCACAGAGTAATTGCTATCGTTTATCGATATACTTCAACAAATTTATTTAATTAGACAAACTTAATTTTTAGAAACATAATCAATTTGAGTCTACAATCTCACCCAGATACATATATATATATGCATCTGCCAAAATTGTGTTAAGAATATCTTAAATACCTTTAAAATATGTCTGATTTTCTAATCAAAATGTTTTTCTCTTTGCATTGAAATCGCAGCAGGCGGAAATGGTAAACGAAAACCGTGAGCCCAAGCTGGCTGGCTACGATTTCTATCACCGAGTGTTGGGCTCACCACGCTATGTGGTTGCACCAATGGTGGATCAGAGTGAATTGGCATGGCGTATGCTCTGCCGGCGTTACGGGGCACAGCTCTGCTATTCACCCATGTATCATGCGAATCTGTTTGCCACCGATCTGAAGTATCGCAAGGATGCTCTGCAAACCTGTCCCGAGGATCGACCATTGATTATACAATTCTGCGGTAACGATCCACAGCAAATATTGGAGGCTGCTTTAGCTGCACAAGATCATTGCGATGCCGTGGACATCAATCTGGGTTGTCCACAGGCAATTGCCAAGCGTGGACACTACGGCTCCTTTCTGCAGGACGAATGGGAGCTGCTCACAGACATTGGTAAATATTTTATGAATACATGTATTAGAAATATTTATATTTCAATTCAATTGCAGTGCGAACGCTGCATGAGAAACTCTCTGTACCGGTGACTTGTAAAATACGACGATTCGAGGATCGGGAGAAGACAATTCAATATGCCAAAATGCTGGAGGCTGCCGGCTGTCAGTTGCTGACCATCCACGGACGGACTCGTGAGCAGAAAGGACCTCTGACAGGCATTGCGGACTGGAGCTACATTAAGGATGTGCGAGAGCATATTAAGATTCCCATGTTTGCCAATGGCAATATCTTGGGCTTGGATGATGTGCATCGCTGTCTGGACGAGACGGGCGTGGATGGAGTAATGAGCGCTGAGGGCAATCTGCATAATCCTGCAATATTTAAGGGCATAGCACCACCTGTCTGGCAAATGGCCAAGGAGTACTTAGAATTTGTTGACCAATATCCCTGTCCCACATCCTATATACGCGGACATCTCTTTAAGCTATTCCATCATATGTAAGCATAAAAAATGTAGACTGTTAATAGATTTGATTCATATCGTGATCCCTTGCAGCATGAATATACGTTCCAATTCCCAGTTGAGGGAACAGCTGGCAACGGGCAATCAGCTCGCTCAATTCCATGCCGTTGTGGCCAAGGTGCAGGAAAAATATGAGCCATATCATACGGGTATGACAAAATATGAACCGGAAGAAATGGAAATGAATATGAGCGGGGGAGGAATAGAGGAGGTAAGATATCATTTATTTGTATCGCTCAAAAATGATGGAATTACTGATCACTTCTCCGTGCTTGCAGTTGCCCATGCTGCAGCCTTGGTTGTGCCAGCCCTATATTCGCGCCTCGCCTGAATCACATCGCCAGAAAATAGCTGAAAAACAACGCGAAGCCGTCGATCCGAATCGCATCAAACGACAATATTTTGACAATGCTGGCAATGAAATCTCTAGGAAGCGCATGAAGAAGCTGAGACGTCGCCAGCGACGCCCTATCAAAACGGATGCACAGTGCCAGCTGCGTCACGAACGACATCTCGAATATTGCGAGCAGTGCGCCAATCCACTGGGTTCCAAGTGTGAATTTCGTCTGTGCCGCATTTGCTGCCGAGACAAATGCTATGCGGATGATTGTGATTGTCCTGGACATGGCATACTCATTAAATCACGACGTGCCAAGGCTAAGCAATTTGAAGCCCATTGTAGGCAAGAGAATAACAATGACTCCGCTTCCATTGTTCCAGCTGCGAGTCAAACAACAATGGAAAGTGACGACCCACCATTAGCTGATAATGTTTCTTGATATCGGAATAGGAATCGTAGTGAATTTGTACCGTCTAATGTAGGAAATTATGCGCGCTCTTGTTCCTATGTATTGCTGTGCATATAAAAATACAAAATCATAAAAAACAAAACCAAAACATTTAATGTTTCTCATTCAAGACGTTCTTAATCAAGTACTTAAGCTTAAATGACATTCAGCTATAATTGTAATTGTTCCATTCACTGAGTTATTCATACATTATAATGTTTTATTGTAATTTTCCTATTGTGTTTAACTTGAACTAATTGTATCGCCGAGTCTTTCGTTAAATTTGAATTCCTCTCAGTATACATTTATTAGTATTTTTACTATTATCGTTGTTTCACGAAATATTTTAATACATGGTATTTTTAGTATTTTCCGATCATTTATCGATACGTAAAGAAAGTCACCTCTGTTAAATAATCACTGGTTCAAGCTCGTGAACCAATTCCGACTGAACATTTTTGTGTTCAATCAATCAACACAACTGTGTCAAGACAAAAAAAAAAAAGAATAACAAATGAGTTTACTCAATAAATTGTAAAAAATTTGAAATAATAATCAGAGTGGGGAATATAGCTATCAACAAAGCCTGCTATTGAGTGATTCCAAATAGCGTGCAGCATTAACTAGTTTTATTTTTCTTTACGTGGAACTGGACTTGGCATTTGCTGCTGAGAAACTTAAAATAAATGCAAAGAATTTTCAAATGGATGCAAACAAGAGCTTCAAATGCAACGAACCCGGCTGTGGCAAAGCCTTCTGGTATAAGGCGGCGTTGAAACGACATTTAAACACGCACAAGGAGAACGATCCAGATGCACCCATTGTTTCTTGGGGCTGCAACAATTGTACGAAAATGTTCACAACAGTCGAATCGCTGCGACGACATTTCAGGTGAGAAAATCTCTGAAGCAAAGTGTGGAGGCGCTAATCGATATTTCCCTGCCAGAACTGCCCATGGCTCTGTCTATGTCTACCCCTGTCAATATGAAGGCTGCAACCAGATGTTTCAGCGCAAGGATAATTTAACACGTCATGCGGCCTCGCATGCGGACAATAAGCATTGTTGCGACATCTGTGGAAAGTCCTTTGCCCGCAAGGATGCGCTGACAAGGCACAAAGTGTGAGTGTAGAAACAAGTGGAGATCTAACTGTAAAGTGTGAATCGCATAGATATCAGAAGCCTCTGATTTGGTTAAGGAGCTTTTGCGGTGTTCCACGCCCAGTGTGGGCGTATATATTTGCCACACTAAGTCGAGCAGTCAAGGCTTTTCTACTATAATACTATTATATGCATAGTCACGTAGTAGCTTATTTTTAGGATTGTCAAAGTTGTTATCCTTCTCACGAAGCTTCGTTTTTAATGTTATTTTTAATTTCCTTCCTTTTCTATAGCATTCATACGCGAAAGGCCCAAGCAGCCGAAACTACATCGAAGCAAAGCCAAACTAGATTGAACCCTGTTCTCGCCAAGCACAGATCTGTGGGCTCTTCAATGTGAGAGTAAAATGAAATAAGTGAGTATAAAACATCTGAAATGTTCCACAATTTCATAACTTAAATCTGAAACCATATTTACAGGTTGGCAAAGTGCTTTAGAAATTAATAGGTTAAACAGCATTTGAAATACAAATTTCTTACAATAAAGTTGAAGCTTTGGGTAAATATGCTCAATAAAAAAAATAAATAAATAAAGAAAAAGAATATATAAAAATTCTTAACCATTGTAAAAAGGCATGTTCTTATTAAGTTTAACTATATAAATCATAAGTTCTAAGTAATTGTCATTCTATTCATGAAAAGCGAGCGGTTGATTGGGTTTTTAAATATCTTCGCATTTGTCAACCGTTGGTGGGAGTTGTGGATAAAATTATAAATTATTTTACTTAAGAATTTACATTTTTCATTTAGAGTAAGTAAAAGGCAGTAATTTAACCTAACGAATGAGTGTTCAGTAAATTTCGATTATGTAGTTTATTTCAAATAGAGTGAAATAAAAAGGTAAAAAAAAAAAAAAAAAACGATGGATTTTTTTTTAGCTATATCATCCCGCCGTCCGTAATGTGCTTTGCGTTATTTTTTTCAGGCCAATTTGTTGTAATTATTCAACAAACTAAAGGGGCTTTATTCGAATATGAAATCACGCAATTTTGAATTTAGCGGCAAGACTAAGATAGTTTCCTTCTACGATATAGAAAAATATCGATAATTATTGTTAGCCACTCTATCTGTGGGCACGTTTTGCGGCTGCAGCTGTTGCTTAAACAAAAAATGGAACAAACAAATGGATTTTACGATTTCTGTATTCCATACAACAAAGATGACAAGATATTGCGTGACATACTCAATGAATCGGTCGAACTCGGTTACAAGACGATAGCAATTGACCAGAGCTTCGATCACAGCAAAAAGGAGCCCGGTAAACGTGGCTCCGAAATGTTTCCCGAGCCACACAACATAGACAATATACGCAAGGAGTTTGCCAACAAGTTAAAGATATTGCAGAGAATAACTATATTATATGTGGATGCAAATGTGTCACACGCAATGGTAAGCTAAGAAATAAACCTTATGTGTGTATACTTTTCAAAATTGTCCAATTTCCAGAGCGTTTCGTTGAATCTGCGCAAGTTTAATCTAATCGCTGGACAACCCAAAACGGAATCAGCCTTAACGGTAAGCTGCTTGTAGCAATTGTTCTTTTTTTTTTCCTTTTTTGTCGTACCCACATGTCGCGGCTTACATGCAATTTTGTATCGATGAGCTTTGTTTACATATTGCTTAATCGATAGTTAATTTATGCAAATAATTATTTTAAACTACTTACCAGCCAGAATTTCGAAGTACAAACAGAAGCTTAAGTTATTGTTATTATATGTTAATTAAGTTTAGACTGAATCTAATCTACTGTCATCCCTATTTAATGAAACAGCTGATTAATAAAAACGGCGGCTTAGACGCCGTTAAAGAAATCAAGTTTAAATAGCATATACAGTATTGAATGGAAATTTAGTTTTAAATCACTTTTTATTATATATATATATATATATATATTTAATCTGTGTTTACTTCTTATAGCACTGCTGCACGTCCTTTAATGGTGATATCATTACCTTTGATCCAACTGCCGGCTCCCGGCTGCTTGTCCAGCGTAAGCCTTATCTGATTGCGGTGCGAAGAGGCATGTTCTTCGAGCTAAAGTATGCACCGGCTATAGCAGACTCAAATAATCGCAAGGATATGATTAAGGTGGCACAGAACTATTGCACCAAAGGCAAATCGAAAAATATCATCTTCAGTAGCGGTGCATTGCATGAATTTCAATTACGCGGACCGTACGATGTGGCGAATTTGTAAGACAATAATGTATAACCTGTACAGTGAAGACTATACCAATGAGCAAGCAATAGTATTTATTTAATTGTCAAATGAAATCTTATTTATTCATTATTCCCTTCAATATATATGTACATACAATATTGTAATATCTGTATAAGTAACAGACAGTCCTAATCACCCTTGCCCCCAACCAGTCATCCTACTCATACGTAGTCCGCAGCAAGTCTTCGCTTCACTCTATAACATTAATTATTTGTCATATCTATTATATCTCTCAACAGGTCCTACATATTTGGACTCTCCGAAAATCAGGGCAAAAATACAATCGATCGGTTTTGTCGGCAACTTTTTTTACGCGCCGAATCACGCCGTTTGGGCAAAACAATCATGTTTGTTAAAAGTATAGGACCAATTGTATTTTCCGACAGTTCCGATGAGAGCGACGAGGAATTGGCTGATGAAATGGATACTTTAGTCAAGGAAACAGTATGCGAGGAAGAACCAGAAGGAAGAGAAAGTAGTCAAGCAAATAAAAGACTGAAAGTAGCATAAACAAAAGTGTATATTTATTTCGTATAAACAATTGAAAAGGATAGAAATCTTCAAGACATGGAAAACATTTCCATAAAATTCTCGAAGCTGCACAGTTTATTCTCGAATTTCAAAATTTATACGGTCATACATGGTGCGCGCACTTGAAAGTGTAGCCATTATATCGATAGTATGTTATCGGAAACGATACTCAGGTTTATTCGCGTTTTGTTTAGTTAACTGTTCAGACCTGTTATACCAAACAAAAATATTAAATCTATAAAAAAATATGTCTATACACACGGCGATTTGCGTACGTATTTCCAAATAAATTTTAATGCGATTAATCGTTACTTTAAAAATACTTAGCATGCGAGCTGCCTACCGTATATCGGTCATCTCTAATCGCTGCTAAACAAAATGGAGGTCTTTGATGTGGTGCGTACATGTCTGACAAAGTGCTGCTGAAAAATTTGCGTAAAACGGCAAAAATAAATTGATTAATTAATTAAATGTAATAGCAAAATGCAAACAAAGTTGCCGGCAACAATTTGCGCTAAATACGAAACGAGTATTGAGCGTATTTCAAATGTTATATGATTTTGAAAATCGACGAAACGAAAACCAGACACTCGAGCGAAGAAAAAAATGTGAAAGAAGTAGAGAGCGAGAGTACAAGACGACGGCGACAACGACAACCCAAACGACGAGAAAAACGGCAAAAGAAATATGTATTTCGCGAGACGACGACCGCAGCAGCAGCAGCCGCAGTCGCAGTCAACGTTCAATTGTTTTTTCCGAATTATGGCCAAGTGCATGTGTATATATATGTATATATATATATATATATATGTGTGTGTGCGTGTATGTGTTAATTAATTGGCATAGCTAGACAAAAAAAAAATTGAAATCAAAGTAAAAAGAATATATATATATGTATATATATGCAGTAAAAGCGTGAATTAAAATGCGTTCGCAATAAAGTGACTTCTTTTTCGTTACCTTTTTGTATAATTAAAAATGGACCTCGCTATCTGTCGCTGTGTGAGTTTAGTGCAGTTGTATGTATATACGTGAATATATTTATGTGTGAGTGTGATGGCGATGCTCGATTTTCGCTTGATGATGATGTTTGATTATAATAATGATTATTGCCTCCCCGTCTTTTTGTCTTGTGCAAATGCACATGAGTGTGAGTAGTTTGTGCTTCGGATAATAATTAACTTGTGAGGGTGGTGCTGTTTAATTTAATTTCATTTAATTTTATTGTTTCTATTTATACAAAAAAAATTGTAATTGCTATCACTGCATCTCTGCCGCGACAGAGAAGAGCAGCTTGCGGCGTCTTGTTAATGATTTTCGCCCATTTTCACAAATATTTAGTGTGCTTATGGCATTTATATGCGTGTGTGTGTGTTTGTGTAAATGCAATAAAATGTCTTACATTTGTGCTTGTAATTATTTGCCGTGGCGAGTTCGCCATTTATATTTTCATTTCTTTGTGCCCGCTGCTTCTTGCTACATTTGTTTTGTATCTGAACTCTGTTGTAGTTGTATTTGGTGTGAGTGGCGTGTGTCCCGCGTTGATTTTGCAAGCACCCAGAAAATGAAAAAAAAAAATGTTTTTCGCAGCCAGCATACATTTGAAATGTGTATGTATTGGTCTCTCGTCGCTGCAGCGTTGCCACACAATCGCATGCAGATGCACACACCTGTGCAAATGTGAGCTGTTGGCTTGTTCGAGTCGTCGTTTTCGTGTCGCATGTCGTTCGGCTGCTGCGCGCCCCCGCTGCGTACATATTGCGTTGTTGTTGTTGTTGTTCCTTTGGGCTCTATTCATATTTCGTGCTTTGTGTGTGTGTGAAGGTGTGTGCCGTTTGTGCTTGTGTATGTGTATATATATTTTCACTGATTTACGCGTTTGAACAGTTGCAGGACAAACAAGAACATCTGCATGCAACGGTATCCATGTGTGTGTGTGTGGCAATGACAAAGCAGAATTTGTTGCCGGCCCTTAATATGGGCTTAGCATTGTATTTGTATTTTCTACATTTGATTTGTCTCAGCTCTGTGGTAGTTTGTCATTTGTCTACCTCCTTTGCGCACATACACGTAGAGGCTAGCAGCAGCGGCAGCCGCACGTTTTTCTAGCCGGGGCAATCGCTGTTTATATCCGCGCGCTCTCTATCTCTCGCACTACGCGCAATTGATGAGAGCGTAAATTTTCATTGCGCTCACGGGCGCCATCAGGAACGACAAGCAGCGGTGCTGCCAATTGCGCTTATTTAATGCTAAAATCTGACTGATGAGCGATAAAACTGTGATAGTAAGAAGGCTGCGACAATTACGGTTCAGTTTCAAACTGCATTGTTATATTAAAAAATATAAATATGTCAAAAGATATTGCAAAATGAAAGTAGCAGCAAGCATTTGTTTGCACACATCAGGTTGTAATTAATAGTTAGAGATTAGCCAATTGACCACCTAAAGAAATTTTGATTTTTGCATTAAAATACAAATATGCAAATATTTATTAAATATATTACAAATAATTATTAAATATATAACAGATAAAACTGGAGAATTTGTTTACGTACATCTACATCAAAACGATTAATTTTTCACAAAAAGTTAGCTTTTTTTGTTGTTTGATTTGTCTTCTCTCACAATGTGGCAACACTGACGACAGCAGCAGTCGTGTCGTCTGTGGCGGCTGTAGAAAAAAAAGTGCTCTTCATGACTTCTTTCTGTGCCCCAATCCGTTGCCACGGCTGCTTTTCCTTTTCCAATTACACAAACGTTTTCACGTCTGCCGCTCATACGCCTATTATTTCTTTTCAGCAATATCTATCGATTTCTTTGTGTTTAGCTCTGGCAGCGGCGGTGACAGAACACCGGCCCCAATAGCCGAGCGCTGTGCGTATATCAAGTTTAATTGTAATTATCGCGCGTGAGTGTGTGTCCGTGTGTGAGCGATTGCATTGGTGTGTGTGTGTGTGTGTGTGTGTGTGTGTGTGTGTGTGTGTGTCTGTGTGTGTGTGTATGAGCTATTTGCTCAAGTCACAGCAGCACAAAGAAGAAGTAACAGCAATGGGCAGCAGCTTCAGCTCAGTCGTTGCGCTTTTGTAGTTTTCGCCGCGTCCGTTTCAGTTACTACTTCTGCTATTGCCGTCGGTTTTTTCTTTCTCTTCTGCTCGCTTTGTTATTGTTGTAGTAGTAGTAGCAGTCGTAGTTGTTGTTGGTGCAATTGTGCTACAATTATTATTTCGCATGTGTTGCTTCGTATATGTATATATGTGTGTGTGTATCTACACTCGAATTAGCATTGTTGTTCTTGTTGTTGCTGGCACTCGCATTCGCTATCCGTCATTGTTCGTCATCATTCACATTTCAAAGTTGTCGATGTCGCGTAAAAGGCAAATGGCGCTGCATGCATAACTATCGATAGGTTCAAACGCCGCGGTCTGTCAATCGGGCAAACACTCAAACGCAAACACAAAAAAAAAGAAACCAGAAACGAATGCATAATCAAAAAAGTATTCAATGTGTACTACAAAGCAATAAACACGCAAAAAGTCCAACGGATTAGCAGCCCCCAGAAGTAGAAGCAAAGAGGTGAGTGAAATAGCAAATATACAAATCTATATGGACACATACATAGATACGTAATATATATAAATATTTACATACATATAAACAGCCTATACCTAGCTAGGCACGAGTACTTTTTATATTATAATTATAGTTAATTAAGTTGGGTGCGGTAATGAAATTTCAAATACGAATGCGAATGTTATGCACAAGCGAAACGTGAAATTTCGAGAAATTTACAACAATGGCAAGGCAGAAAATGCTTTTTAGAAATAATTATGTATCTTTAACCAAAAGCAGATACACACAAGCACACACATATACACGCACACACAAGCCGGCCGTTGCCAGCAGTCAGTCACTCAGCCAGCAAATAAAAATGAACGAGCAAACCCATACAGACGCACACATACAAGTCGACGAATTGAGCGAAAAACGAACACTCACACACACAGACAAGCTAAAATAATTTCAATCAACTCTTTGCTTGGACGGCCGACCAAAAAAAAAAAGTTGTAAAAAAGAATAATAAAATAAACGTCACACGCGCCCCCAAAACAACGTGATACAACAAATACAAAGACTGCATCTGAATGAAAGAGAGAGAAATAGTGTGGGAAGACAGAGAACGAGCGAGCAAAGGCCGGCCAGGCATTTGAGTTTTTGGGTATCACTGTTCCGGCGAAAAATTTAAGTAATAAAAAGAAAACTACAACGCGCTTAGCTTAACGTGCAAATGAGAGCGACGGGGCGATGATGACGTCGCATCACTTGGACTATGGCGACAACGGCATAAACTGAAGCAAACAATTCATCGAAGCACGGCAAGAGCGCAGCAACACACACACACACACACATGCATTTACAGTCCACACTCTTGCATGACCGGTCGTCGTTCGCGAGAGCCAAAACGGCAAATGGAGAGCGCGAATGGATGGATGAAAGGCAGCAACAGCAGAAGGCAAGCAGGCGGCGATCCAAAGCCAAAGCATATCATCCATCCAAAACCGAATCAAAACCGACCAAACAACAAGCAAAAACATATGAACGACGACGACCCCAACGCACCAACACACAAACACACACACAGTCGTGTACGCATACCCATTCGCAGGCAAATACACGCGCAGCCCATGCCCATGACAGAGCACGGAGATACGATACTCACACACACACTCATACGCGCGCGTACTTAAACGATATGCGAATAAAATAGCAATAGCAACAACAAGAGCAAACAACATACCAACGGCAGCCGCCGCCGCAGCAGGGCAACTATGCGGCGAATTTGCACGAATCATGCGAATCTCCAATACACACACACAGCGAGAAACTCAGCCAGTCTTATACACCCATACACCCATACACATGCACATGCATACTTAATACGTGTTTTGTACTTGTCGCCGTCTTCGTCATCATCGCTGTCGCTGGCCATTCTCGCCATCATGGCTGCTGCTGCTGCTGCTCTACACACTCTTTTTGTTGTATCTACGCGACGCGCGTTCGTTACATTTCACAGTCGGTCGCAGGCGTTTTGCCAGATTTCGCTTTTCAACCCACCCGGCTCCCTTTCCATGTCGCCATCCGCAGCACCACCCAACTTATCAAACTAACAAGCATTCACAGTAACATCAACTACAACAACAGCAACAATTTCTTGTACCAACTCCAAAAAGTAATCGTCTCGTCTATTGTGCCCTGCTTTTCGTTCAGTTCATTCGCATTTTTGTTTTGACTGCTCTTGTCAACTGGTCGTCTCTTTTCAACGCTCATTCTATACGAAAGCCGCCGCCGACGCTACTGACGCCGACGGCGCAGTCTGTCGTTCAGTCGCCTCCAACATTGCCGGCCATCTGTCTAACATGAGGCTGGCGCCTCAGTTTGCGTCGCTGTTCGCTCGCTCAGTCTCTGCCGCCAAAGGCCGGCACACGTTGTTGCCGTTGCTGTTGCTCCAAAACCCACCCCAACCCATGTCTGCTGCTGTCTCTGCTCATTCTGTTCGGCCTGTGCCATCGGCTGTGGCAGCGGCAGCGGCAGCGGCAGCACGTGATATACTCGCTTTGCTTTTGTAATTTCGCTTTTGGCTGGCTCTTTAGCGCACGCTATGCTTTTGCCACATGTTTTTGTTGTTACGTTTTTTTCACTTGTTGGGCTGTTTTTTCTTTTCCTTCTTTGTTTTCTTCTTTACTCGCCGCTATTGCTCTCTGTTTCTGCTCTCCCTCTCTCTCGTCTTCGCTCTCAGTCAGCCGGCGCTCAGCTAAAATGCTCTCGTTCATTGCCTCTCGTTCGCGCGCTCTCTCGCTCGCTCGCTCTCTCTTGTTTCGTAGCGTATCACTCTCTTGTGTGTTTGCAAGTTTGTTTCAGTTCGGATGTGTTTAGTGTTGTTGTTGCTGTTATTGCATACACAATGGCACTATCCGGTTTAGGTCCAGGTGCAAATTTTATACAACAGTTTAACTCGATAATCGGGTCAGGCTATGGTCATTTGTTCTACACGTTTTTTTTTTTGTCTTTTTCGGCAAATTCTAGCGGGAAACATGGCGTCAAAATTTGAGGTTTCGATATTTCTTGCTCCGTTCCTGACGAATCGCAACGCCAGCACAATCGGTGCTGCCACCCAATCATTGCCCAGGCACAGGCACGTCATAAATGCACCGTTACATATTCAAAAAGCTGCGACGTGTTGTAATATACGTTACTGTATTTGCTGCTCTTTAGCTGAACCAAAATAAGAGACAAAGCAAAGAAGAAGAAACAACTGTGTGTGGCTGTAACTTTACCTATTTTATTACCATTTTTATGTATGCATGTGTGCGTGTGTGTGCGCGCAGCACCCATCATCTGCTTCTTTGGCTGACTGGCTGCTGTTGCTGTTGGTGCTTGTTGTTGCTTTTCTTACAAAAACCAACTGTACTTTTTAGTTACTGTTAGTGCGCGGCGTACAAGCCAAAAGCCACTTGACTACTTGACTTGATTGCCATTAGAGAGCAATATGTGCACACACAAACACATACATACATATGTATGAGGCGCATTTCTTTCCATTCTGCCGGAATGACACAACAAACAAACACTCTGCACATTCCATTCTCATGCCATTATTATTTATTATGGGTCAAATGTTGGTTACATTTCAAAACACGAATGCCGCAAGCCAAAGCCAAAGCAAAGGCAAAAGCAAAGCCTTAACTACACAAAGTTTTTTGGTTTTTGTTTTGTTGTTTCTTTTATTTTTATTATTTTTTGGTAAAGGTGAATGAACTTTGGTTGCCTGTGCGCTCTCATTGTTGTTGCAAAATGTTTAATCATATAATTTGATAGCTGGTTTTTGTTGTTGATTGAAGATTGTTGAAGTTTCTTGAATTGCTACTTATGCTTCAAGCTGCTCTTCTCTGATTGAGATCAAGATTTGATATGATTTGCATTCCGTTATCGATAGCCAGCATAATTTGACTATCGATGGTTGACAATATCAACACTTGGAACACTCGACGCAAATGAAATGCCCCGCAATAAAAATAAAACAGAGCCAAAGCTAATGCTGCTGCTTACGTCTCAGTCTCTGTCTCCGCCTCTGTCACTGCCTGTCTGACATCTAGCAACAACAACAGCAAGACAAAGTAGAAGCAGCAGCGCGCGTCGCGTCGCGGCTGCGTCGGGTCAGCGGCGACGTTTGTCGTCACCAAGAGTTGGACACACACAGAAATTTGCTTGTCTATTATCACCTTTAATCGATTTTTCGCTTATTTAAAACAAAAGTACAGTTGTGCGCGCATAGCCGCCAATACACACACATAATTTCACAGAAAACAACAAAAAATGTTTTCAGATGCTTTGTCGTTGTTGTTATTGCTTTACATATTACTATTGCTTTTAGTTTATTGTTTTTGCATTTACTTGGCGACGCCGAAAACGTAGCGAAAGAAGAGGCACAAAAAAAAAACAGTTTGAAACGTAAACTCAATGACATATACATTTATACAGGCACATATACAAACATACGTATAGACATAGCTATCTGCTAGATACAAACTTTACACACACACAAGTAGCTAGACTAATAATAATGGAAGAAAAAAAAAACCGAAACTAAATAAATAAATAGCTGAAATTGCAAAAGCAAAATGTAATTGATTACAAACAACAACAACAAACAACAACGACGACTGACTAAATGATTGCCCAATGAGCGCGAGTGCGAAGAAGCCAAGAGAGGGTAAAAGAGAGCTGGTGCTGTACGAATAGGAAAGAGGAGGTGGCGAAGGAGGCGCAGGCATTTGGTAGTGGGAGAGTGAGCTGAAGGCATGGGCTAAGCGCGCTTAGCGCTCATGTCATGCACTCTACATAAGTTTTCAGATGCATGTGTGTGTTGTGTGATGGCTGTTGATATTTGTATATGTACGTGCATACGTGTGTGTGTGAGTGAGTTAGTGTTGCCACTGTGGTTGGCTGACTGACTGTCTGGCAAGCGAAATATGTGCGCACGTATTTATAACAGTACACATAGAGCGCAATTTGGTACCTCTATGTGTGTGTATGTGTGTGCTTGACTTGCTAACTGCATATTTTGCACAGTGGTTGCTTGCTAATTTAAATGCAATATATTAATTGCAGAGTTAAATGCTTTAGTTGCAATAGTCATACTAATAATAAAATTCGCATTCAATCAAATTTATTAAATTATTTAAACAAATAATTTAGTTGAATGCGGATTTCGATTTGCAGTAATAATAATTAGTATATTCTGAAACAACAGAAACCTTGTTTATTTATGAATTTGTTCAGTTAAATGCAATATTTAGTGTGTTATACTAATATTTAAATTCACTCTAGTTTCATTAACTAGCAACCACTGTAGCTTAGCATGCGTTTGACTTGCTTGCATATCTCTCGTATGTACTATTCCGTTAACTGTAGTTTTGTGTCGCTGTATCTCTCCACTTGGCATACACTTTCCATTTACACACACACATATTTATATATATTATACACATACAGTTGTACAGATGCCCCGCTCCTTTTAGCTGGCTGCTGTTTGCAACATTTGCATATCTTTTGGGCATTGCTGCTCAACCCCTCAAAAAACGCGCTGCTCAACGGGCAACACCCGCATTACCTTTTTTTGGTGTGCTTTATTTTATGTTGTTTTACTTTTTTCTTCATGCTTTTTGCTGCTGCTGCTGCGCTGCTACTTTAGGTTGCTTGGATTTTTTTTGGGGCTAAACCTTTGCAGACAATGCGAAAAATCGATAGAGTTGGCATTGTTTTTTCTCACTGCAAAGATGTCGCCACCACCAACACAACGACAACAGCAGCAACAACAACGAAATCATATAAAATTCGTAACAGCCTCCAAAAAAGATTTGAGGTGGTTGGGGGTGGGGGCTTTGAGGCGAACAACTAGTCTTAATCCACGCCTCATTAATTGCCAACACTCTTTTCATTATTCCCTTTTTGTGTCCCTGTTTCGTCAACACTTTTCACAGCTCAGTTTCGTTAGCAGCCTCTTTTGTTACGTCTTACGTTTCACGGCTTATGTCTTACGTCTTTTGGGGGATGGTATTTCGGGTACAGCCTAGCTTTTAAGATTCACAAGATATTTTAACAAATGTGAACAAAACACTCAAATGTTTAGGGGGTCAAACTGTACGTTGTATGTGTAAACAATGAAATCCATAAGCGTATAGCTTTTCCCCTTAAAAGTTGAAGTGGAAACAACAGCAAAAGAAAGCAGACAAACCAATTGAACTAAGAATATATTAATATAAGCATAGCTACTCTATATAGTATATATGTATAAAGTAAATTCCTCTTTAAATAAAAACTATTTACTAATTAAACCTTATTCTTATCTCTTTTCATTACAGATTCTACATTTATAGAAATACGCTCAATACATATACATATAAAAGCTCGTTAATTTACCGTTTTACGCAAAAGTTTAGGCATTGGGCATTTTTTTTTTTAGGTTATGTTAGCAAGCCTTTTTTTTTTATATTTAATCGAAAATTTTGTTATCTCTGCAGCTGTGAGCGAACGTTTCACTGCGAATATGTCAAAGGTCGGCCATGAAGTGTGCGAAACAACAAAAAGGACAAACACAAATGTGTATACACTATAAAAGAAAACAAAAGATAATAACATATATTAATATATATAGATATTTATAAATATAACGGAAGACGTTCCACAACAACAAAAAATCTAAAAGCTGTAATTAAGTTTAGTAGTTAGAAAACAAACTTAACAACAAATCAAAAGAAGAAAAACCCGACCAATAATTTCAAGTTGACATTTAGACAGAGGTTTTTCTCACAGTGCATTGTGGTTAAATGAGTCAACGTCATCGCAGCAGGACGCACCACAACCTGCAAGACCGTAGACATACCCCCAACAATACCAGCACAAACCCTCCCATCAAGTATAGCCTTGCCACGCGCAGAGATCGGCATCAAAATTAAGCCAATCGACGACCAAACCTAAAACGCAGCGTTGCGTCCTTTGACGCACGTAACGGGACATTTCTGTGTGCGCTGCGTTTCAAAAATCTGATGGATGGAAATGCACAAAATATGTTTCACGGAAATCATCAAGGGTGAGTTTTTCAACGAGGTTTTTTTTTT